AAGCCTGGTTAGTGTTGCCTGACTTTATAAAGTGTGTTTTTTTTAACAAGTGTGTGGTTGCGTTCTAGTCACTTTGCTCAGCACTACTGCTTGTTACAACTTGTATTTTGCCGTACTCGCCTTAAATGTTAGCTCAGGTTAATCTCGCCCCCCTCCGACGTAAGCGTGACGTATGCGGTTCTTGCTTCTAGACGGACAACTTTTTGGTGCTCGAAACGAACCGGATTCCGGAGCTATGACGCTGCTCCGCTGCGGTGTGAACAGGAAAACCCGGTGCTTTTCAAGCACCAGCACCGAACCGGCCCTGAAACACCGTTGGTGTGAAAGGGGTAACAGTGTGTGCTGAAACAGCTGAGATGCATAAGGAGTCTAATGAGAGCAGAGATTCCAGGCCGCCTGATGGCTCTCATCAATCACCTTTCTCCTTTGGAGGTGTGATGCCGGCCGGGGGGAGGGGCCACGGAGGGTCGGGGGGAGGGAAGGCATCAGGTTTTTAATCTCAATAAGTTAATGGACTTTCTAGTCTGGTTTTGCTAAGTAGAACTTCATCCCTGTTGTTCGCAAACAAGCAGCAGCACACGGGAGACTGTCTCTGGAGCGGCTTGGCATTTCTACATTACACACTTAATTTGTGTTGCAACCGAAATTAGCAGATCTAACTAAAGTTTGTCGATACGCTGATAACTGCCTGCTGAAGGTTACTAAGTACTGAGTTTAGGAAAAACAAATGCAGATCTCTAATGGAGCAGGTATACATGGTGCAGTTCCTTGGTAAATATTGTATTGCTAATGATGCTGCACGTAGCCGAAGGCATATATAGTAATCGTCCCAAAGTCCTAAACCACACAGGACACATTATATGGTCGATTATATCCTCAAGCATGAAACATGCACAGATGTGATATTGTTTGGAAATCTGAAGGTGGAATAAACCAAGTCCTCCATGAACAATAGATGTCTATAATCGTAGCTAAGCAACAGTAACTGGCCAGCTAAGCTTGATGGTCATTTTATCGTATTTCCAAAACAAAAAAATACAAAGGCAGAATCATGAATGATGGATTCAAAAATGTATTGAATGGTCAAACACATCATCGTACCTAAACAACAGAATAGAGCGTTAGCCAATGACTACCAAGAGTAGCCATGAGCATTGTGAAACTGTTGCTCATAAAGAGTTAGCATTAGCTATCTAGCTAGCTATAGATGTAGGTTAGGATGGAAGAGTGAAGGCTACTTGTTAAAAATGAGATGCCTGCTTTTGTCTTCCTTTTTTTTAACAATGTTTTCAAAAACAACTTTCAAAAATGACTATTGACGCCGATAACGCAAAGAACTGCAGTTCAGGATTACAAAGTGTGGCATAGCATCAGTAACAAAGCAGTATGAAAGTTAAAGTGATTAATTTGTATATATGACTATGGTATGACATATCATTCTGCAGCAGTTTGTTCCACCTCAAGCATTACATCTGAGAAGACTACAATGTGTATGTTATTCCTGATTAATAACATATCATAAATAAAATGGCAGGTCAAACAGGTGTGACCATGACTTTACAGTATAAAGATCATATTGTATGTGTGCCTTTGCTACCTTTTCTGTACCAGTGTGATATTTCTGGTACACCTTGGTTAATTAATTATCCCCATGCTGGACAATGTGTTCTGAAGGGAGCGGGGGTAATGTGGAAAATATGCAGAAAATGTATTTGGGTTGACTGTCCGGCTATTAATAATGATTGTGTTTGGATAAATAGTGCCCTACTTTCACAATCTGTGGATCTAAATATTCCCAATAGGATTCTTCCCTCCTGTATTGATTGATTGGTTTAGTGTTTAAAGGTCATAGTCATAAAACATCAGCATGTAATTAACACAGCGTGATTTTTAACCAGCGGTTAATGCATTGCGTGCTCACTTTTTAAGTTTTAGCTTCTCAGTCTAGTGTTTGGATTTGAATTGAAGATAAGTGCAGAGGAAATGTAATTTGGTGTTCTTCACAAAGAAGGAGCAGGTGAGGCTGCAGGGCCTGTGATACATATCCTCATGTAGTGAGTCTTTAATCATGGTTTCCTTCAAAGAATAGATGGACTATTGTGTCTCCCCTTCCTCTTAACTAATGGCCTCCAAAACACTAAACCCCTACTTACATTCCATGCAGAGTCACGTGGAGACAAGACAGATGCGGGTCTGCGTCCTTATGGTTACCTCAGCTCCTAATGTGGCAGAGGGAATACAATGAACATTCTGAGATGCTTTTATATTTCATATTGGCTTGGCCTTGATATGAGTAAATGCTGAGATCCTACTGATGGATTTGACGCTAACAGCTTCCTTTCAATATGCCTTTTACGTATTGTCACCAAAATGTGAACTGACCACCACATTTAGTTCCACCCTTAATTGCTTGTGTAATCAGGTTCCATATCTAAATAACAAAAGAAAGCCTTCACATTTGCTCTGTTGTTGGACTGGGAGTTGAGTCTATTCATCATTTCTCTAAGATTGAAACCATGTGTTTTGGTTTGTGAAGACATTTATCTGAATGTCTCGGCTTTCTTTGGCTAAAAGGATGGAATCCTATTTTTCCCTCTTCCTCTCTAATAGCCTGTGCACTGAAGGAACTGTTGTGCATTATGAAACCAAATGCAGGAAGATGTATACATTCCTAATTAGCTTTTGATGATGATTAATTACATAATTAATTTGATATAAATCTAATTTAATATTGGTATAATTTATTTAAATAATAATTGCAATGTTCCAAATGAATTTTAAAATGTTTTCTCATTCAATGATCTTAATGTGAACCTGATCCACCGTTTTGGCTTGTCTTGTTTAAAATCAGCCTGACTGCTTAAACTGGTTTGTTTTAAAGCAGATTGCTTTGAAAGATCACTACCCTCACTCACTTGGCAATGGCTCAAACCCAATTGATCCAGGAGAGGAACAAGATGGAATGTGAAATTAACACAGGGTTTACAAATTCCTTGACTGTAATATTTATCTGAAAATCCTTACTTTCCATTGTTAAGGACAGTTTATATTCCACAAACACAAAAACGGGGTTTGGTTTTCATTTGGCTGCAGCACTGTTCCACCTTGAGAAGGAAAAATCACCAGAAAGAATCCGATATGAGAGAAAACCACAACCCCGGTAATTTAATCAGAGTGACTAAAATCAAAGGAGGCAAAAGTTCAGGATCTGAATGCAATGTAATGTATCAGTTCCTAAGAACCTACTGACATAGCTCACTTGTGGAGGAGCAAGCCTAGACAGAGGGCTGAGTAATGAAGATGGATGCATTCTGTTATCAGGCAGCCACTTACTGGGCCTGATGTAACCTTAAACATTGAGGATAGCTCAGTTGCACAAAGAATCTAATTAATGAATAGCCGCCATGAAAGAGGACAAGGCAAGTGTGCATTTGCAGATGAATTCCAGACACTAATCAAACACTGTTCAAGTGCTTTGCTTGGTTTGTCTCCAGAGCAAGGCAATATTTGGCCAGGACTTAAAGCAATGTTTGCACACTGGCTTGATGACTGCATGCATGCTTCAGTGTGTTTTATGTGTGTGTGTGTCTGATTCTTTTTATTTAGTTTTCTTGTTTGTTTTATTTGTGTGAAAGTGCTTTATACAGTTTTAAAGTGCCAAGCCAGTGGTAATAAACCACTACATATACAGATCATGTGTAATGTTGTATTATTAAGTTGATTGTTTACCCTCCATCATTGGTAAACTCTACAGTTAATAGGACTTATATAAGGGGGAAATGTCTACTATTTGCTCATTATGGCTATAGCTCGGTATATATTGATTGTTTTTAGCTGGAAACCCACTACACAATTTAAAAGCTAATGGCTACTAAATTAGTTTGTGTCACCATGTGTCTTGTAATGGTAGTGTTTAAGGGTGCAAAACCCTGGCCTTGGACAAATTATTTAATGACTAGATCTGGATGCGATCCAAGTGATCCATTCTTCACTTGTTAAGAACACAACTCTAAGCAAAGTGTGCACTTGTGTAATCCATCAAGGTTAGACATAATTAGGACCCATTATTTCGCTAAAGTTTTTTTTTTAAATAGTCAACATAACCTGGTTCCAGATCTGTGCATGGCTTTACATTTAAATAACCAGATAATTTTAATGTAATCATTTCTATGAACAGATATCTGCATATGAATGCAACATATGTAGACAATGGTATGGAGGATTTTGCTATTGGAAGCCTCCTGGTTTCATGTGTCGCCTAGTAGGATTCACCAATGTCGTTTGAGCCGACTTTGGTTGCATGCTGGTAAACTGTTTGTGTTGAGAGCAAAACACAGGAAACACATTGACCAAATGCAGGCTGGGAAACCATTGGCTATCTTCTGGCACAGAGATGTGTATATGACTTGAGATTGGACTGTTAATACCAGCACTCTGAAGAGGAAGTCTTGGGGTTGCTTGCTACACTGGAACCCGAATAATATTAGTTGTTACACCCTGAGACTAAATAGTCATCAAACCAACAGCTGATGGGTTGATGAAGTCAAACAAAATGGTTATTCAGTGTGATTAATAGGCCATGCAAGCACCTTATGACACTGTGCTAGGACATAGCTGTGATTTAAATAAATGCTAATGTAAGGATGCTAACATGCTAAAAATGGCAATGCTACAAATGCTTGGCAGTCGATGCCTTATATGGTTAGCACCTGAGTGTAGCATGTTTAGCAATAAAGTTTGGGACGATGGGAATGCCATGGTATTTGGTCAGAAACCAAAGTATTGAAATGATGCAAAGGTCAGATAAGAACCAATAACATTTAGAGCGGATCTAAAACATGTTGCGGACACACAACACGTTATTTTTCCTTTTCGTTAGCATTTTTAATGGGGCATTGAAATCTAAAACTGCAACCTTTTGATGAATGTGTTTATTTTTCTAGTGAAACAACAGTGTGAATTCCTGACACTTACAGTACTTCCTGCTCTCTGTTGTCCAGTACCAGGTCCAGAGGAGGTCTCCATGGCGCTCTGTGAGCTCCCAGGGGCAGACGTGGCTGGTGCTGCTCAGTGCTCTCGTGTTGCTGTTTCTGGTTCCTTACGCTGTTTACTGCCTGATGACCGCCTTCACCAACCCTCCTCCTTCCATCACCTTTAAAGTGGCAGCAGCCTCCTTTGGTCTGCTGACAGAGATCCTGATCCTCAAGTGAGTACTTTCCTTTTAGTATTAACTCTCAAATCTGTACTTAAAGTGCCCTTGGTCTGAACTTCTTCTCACATGGCAAACACAGTCAGAACATCATCTATTAAAATCATGACGACGTCTCCCATCTCTGTTTTTTTTTTGTCCTAGCTGTGTGCTCTTCAGCAAAATAAATCTTTGAGCAACATTTCATCTTTATGTAATCTTCAAAACAAGTAGCGGTGAGTGTCGGTTTCATCCAAATAATCATCTCTGAAAACTTGCTGTTCTCCGACCCCCAACACCCCCCCACCTCTCTTGTTTTTTCTCTTGTGCTTCTTTCCCATTTCGATATTGCTAATTGGAATGATGCCTGCGGTATTGTAAACCATTAGTAAATGAACAGTCTGTTTTTATCAACATCTAGCTTGTAAATAATGCATTAGATTCCTGGCATAAACAATATCTACTCTGTGATTAGAAAGCAACATATGGCGGATACTGTAATCAGATTACAAATGCAGGTTATATAATCTATAATTGCTTAAAAGCAGTACCCAAATCAGGCTGAAGAATACAGGATTACGTGAAAATAGAGAAATAATAGTCCTAATGGTAAAATATTGTGACATATTGACTGTCCCTCATCAACTGATGCTGGGATTTAGACAAGCCCCGCTTAATAACATTCATTGTGAAATATAATGGGAGTAGTCAAAGTGATGTAACCTTCCATTCACCCTAAACAGCGTTTTGTGCCAGTAGCAAAATTAAAACTTTGTGTTCCTCTAGTATTCGTCTTAACTAAAATAGAGAGGCTGTTTGTAATTAACTCAACAAGGCTCGTAACTTTTTTCCCCTATTAAGCGCCTTTGCAAGGAATGCGGCTAGTGAACTGGTAATTAATAAATATGGTTGCACTGCTAATGTGCTTCTGCATCATTATGTTGTTGCAGCCCTTATCCACGCTAGTAATGAGCTGTAATTTTATGACAGGAAATTGGTTTGTTTACAACACATTCAGCGGCTTCAGACGAGATACATTCTTGGCAGATCTGGGCTGCAGGTAAGTGCTCATTGTTTGAGTTTAAAGAGGTTCAAATACGTTGTCATGCTAACAGTTATACCGTTAAAATACTAACACTTTGTTAATGAGCATGAATCATTCAAAAATAACTTGTTGTTCAGGCTTTTTTGAAGCTTCAAAGCCTGAACAAATCTAAAACGTTTGCAGTAAACCCATAATCCAAACTGTATGTAATATCATTATATATAATGGTGGAACAAGTATGTTGATATGTAGCAAACGTAACAATACCACTGTGTCAAAGTACTCTCATACAAGTCAAAGTTTGTCATTCAAAATCCTACATAATTAACGTGAAATTGTCAAAAAAACACCATTAAATTAAATTGGCTGACTTCCTGTTGGGTTTGCTGACTCGCTCTAATTTGTTTTGTTTGCTTTGTTGTCTCTATGTTTGACATTTAACCACTAAATTCATCCATGTAGGACATTTGCAAAGATAGGTTCTATGTAGTACTGTTAAGTCATTTTGCAAAACCCTGTGCTGCAAACCCTTTTTTACATACATGTTCACCAGCTTTGAATTTAATGAAAAAAATAGTTTTTTTTTTAAAGATGATTTTCAAATGTCCAATTCATTAATAATATTAATACTAAAATAATAAAATGAAAAATAATAATAATACAATGGGCAAAATAATATATAGAACATGTACAGTATGTGTTTATTATTATTAATGTGTCACTACTTGTAATACACCTGGGTATCTTAATAAAAAAGAATACCTCATAATAAAGAGCTGATTTACTTTTTATTAATATTGTATATCTTCAAAGTAACTTGTTTAGTTCAATTAAGGATTACATATCAATTAAACCTGTGTTAGAATAATGACCTAAAAGCAGGTCAGGTTCAGTTCCAGCTTGTCTCCTGTCCATGTCTCAGTCTGCTCCTCACACTGGAGGTGTCCCACTGCAGGAACAGGTTTCTGTTCACTCATGCACGTTATCACTGGTGTGATTGGGAGGGTGGTGGGTGCCCTTGTTAGGATGGGTGGGCCTCACAGACCCGTGCCCCATGGTGCTTGTGCTGCCTGGGATGTGCCAGCCTCCTGCTGCCCGCTGTCAGCCTGCATCTCAGTCACTGTTCCCCCCGAGGGTGGAGGTCCCTGTGAGGCCCGACCCCCTCATCTCTCACCCACCACACGGCCTGGTTTCTAAGAGAAAGAATGAGACGAAGATAAACACGTCAGAAAAACCTTTTATTGTGTTGAATCCATATTCTGTACTCACGTGTTCATTAATAATCACTCTTGATTAAATGGTCACATGCTATAATGGCAATGTATTGGAAAGAGGGCTAAAGCCTTTTGCTGCCATCCAGTAAGTAAAGTAAATGAGCCTCTGTTTCTTACCTGTTGTCAGTTGCCATGGCTACATCACTTCAGATGCAGGTTTTAAGCAATTACATTGTCAGTTCTGAGGAAATATGACCGTTTAGAATTTATTTTTTTACCATAATAAAAGGTTATGGTCATTTGGCTAATAGTTGTAATTATTTCTCTTTTGTTTGTTAAAACCAATATTCTAGATTGTTCTTGGTGTGAATAAGTTCCATAAGAATAACAAAAGCTAAATAAATTGATCCTACTTCTAAAAAGTTGTTCCTCCATCACCATGACCTAGCACTGCAGTTTGTTTTTGCGATTCAGTCATCATCCTGCTCCATAAGAAACTCACAAAAGAACCAAAGCTGAAAATAGTCCCCAAATAACACACTTTTTCCTAGTTTAAGTAACGTGTGCAAAAAACGACAGTGCCCAGCTATTTACTAAAATTACTGAGCCTTTTTTTCAAATGAAACTATTAAATTGTGGCCCATAATTAACAATTGACATTGTGCGTAGTAACTAATGGGCTTCATGGCTATTTCAGAGATATTTCATATTTCAACAGAGGCAGAAAAAGAAAAAAACTTGGCAGTGCTGGGTTAAAGTGCTGCAAGCTAAAATGAATGTAAAAGGAAACCCAGTGAAGTGTACATTATTTGTTCTTCACAGTGTTGTTAATTTTGTCAGCTGTTTTATAAATTAGTTTTAGCCTTGAGTCCAATGTCCTTCTTAATTGTTATCCTACTTAGTCAATATTACTGCATGATGATATAGTCATAGATAGAAAATAAGGTACCACTTTACAATAAGACTACCCTTATAAAGGATTCATAAAGGGTTTATAATTAGGTTATGAATTAGGTTGTAAACACTTTATTAATCATTAAGAACCATTTATAAACCAGTTCTAACATAGTTTTCATACATCAACACAGGCTCACTATTTGGCAAGATGACTAAGCCTTATATTGGCTACTCAGCGAGAATCAACTCAGTGAACAACAGATACCAAGGATGCTGGCTGATGAAGAAGATGAAGTAAGCTAAGTAGCCAATATAAGGCTTAGCAGTACAGATAAATGTGGGCTCACTATTTGGCAAGCAACCGGTCACAGTTGCCCTGTTTATCTCATGTCTTATAAAAGCTTATTAATGATTTATAAAGTGTTCACAACCTAATTAATAAATGAATTACAAACTATTCATAAACCCTTTATAAGGGTAGTCTTATTGTAAAGTGGTACCGAAAAGAATTACATCTGTGCCATCTTGTTCTTGAGGATTACATTCATAGATTTAATTAAAAAAAATGAACAACAACTTATTTTGTGTGAATCCTTCATATTTCTATCCACTGCAATGTGGCTTCCTGTTTGAACCTTTAAAATAATCGTTATTTTTTCACCCTCGGTTTGCAGCTTTGTTATTGGACACATTCACAAAGTCACATGACATTTGTCAGGCTTGAACTGCCTTTCAGTTTGCTGTCACACAGTCTGCGCCCTCTCCTTCCTGTATGTCAGGGCGAGCGCTGAGACGCTGCCTGACCACGCAGCTCTGCACTGTGAATTTTTATATGCCATGCCTGGAGGTTAGAAACTCTCATTATGCCGTGTTAGATTTATTAAAATAGATTATGGAAATGTTAATTAAGTCATTAATTACATTATTTAAGCAGCATTGACAGATAAGGGAGTGTGTGTGTATGTGTGTCGGGGGGGGGGGTTGTCGAGCTCCCTGGGTGGTTTAAAAGGATGTGATTGGTGACAAGGGACACTGTGGAGATGGCGTCTAACCGCTAGCACTGACATGATACAAAGTGGCCTCCGCTGCTCTCTCACCTCACGCTACTGTCAGCTGCCCGAGGACCAGGAGCTCTCCATCCTTTTGCAGATATAAGTCTTCACAAAAGGACAAATGTACTTGTTAAAAAGGTAGTAACTACACACTAGTGAAGAGCTCAGTGCTTAGAGTATAAACATTTGCAATCTGCTTTACATTTTCCTCAGTGGAGCATTTGGTGGAGCATTTGCTGTGACATTTGAGCCAAGGCCTCAAACCATATTTCCAAGCTGCTCCCAAGGAAAACACAACGGCACAATTGTAAGATGAATTACCCGGGAGTTGATACTATGGACTCTCTTATCTGTTGACAGTTTAGTTACCGCGAAGCACAATAAATGTGTTTTCCCATTCTCTGAGAATTGAGCTTTTCTTTTTCCCATCAAGCCTATATTAAGGGAGGGAAAATTGGTCTGATCACACTTGATAAGAACAAATGATAGATGTTGTAAACAAGTAGAATGCTTCAATTCTGATCTAAGGCATTGATTTGCCTCAGCAGCCAATTACTGTGTGGACTGAGGTTATGCATCCAGTCGATCTGCTGGGAGAGGGAGTTTTGTCTGCTGTCTTTTACTTTGTACCAAACAGTTCCCAAAATGTGACTGAATGTAAAATGTATTATTAAAGGTACTTATTATTCCCGCCAGCTGTGCTGATCCAGTGAGTTTACTCTGGTATCTTCTGAACCACTCCAGGGTCCTTAACCTCCTAATCAAACTATATTAAATGATGGCACTGACCTGCACATTAGCACACACACC